TCATTGGGGTATGCAATTCTACAACACTGTGCAGTTGGATGCGACCAGACACGTGATCAGACAAAAAGAATTTCTTTATACCGGGTGCACGGAAGTTTTCAGAATTCTTTGTTCAGTTTTCATGTAGTTTCAGAGAGTTTTTGAACTAGCTAGCTTAGCTCCATTGCTGCGGAGTCGGCGGACGGATTCCGTCAAAATAGCTGACACGCGGCTATGGGTCACGTGACTGGGAGATCCCTATATGTGTGTATGTGTGTGCATCAAACTGAAAATTCCCCATTGTGGGATGAATAAAGGACCTTCTTCTAAAAACAAGATCATTTTGCTTTGTCCCATTTGCAAATCTTGTTTTTAGGCTCAGTCAGAATCACTTTTTTTTGCAGTGTGCAGTATTCATCTTCATAGAAAACATAACTTATGTTGTTTTGAATGGACTCCTCCAGAATTTGAGTAGAAAAAACATCTGAGTAAAGTGTTCATCACACTTATTCCATAAGTGTTCATTTATAAATAAAGATTACTTACTTACTTACTTCATTTTAACATCTCTGGATATTTCTTTCACTAAAATGTATATTTTACAACTTATTGTGACTCTAAATTATATATTTTTTTGTATGTGTTTTTTAAATACATTGCATGGGGTTTTGTTGAGTGTTTTAGTTTTGTGATTGATGATAATTATATCACCAAAACATAATGAAATAATTCAGATAAAGTCATTAACTTTGAAAGAGTGGTAGTGTTTGAGGAAAGCAAAGCCATCATCAGCAGAAAGTCCAGTGTCTTTGGCCCCAGATATCGTGACTCCTTTAATGTCCGGCTTTTCTCTCGGCTCGAGCGTCTTTGTCTTGTTGACTTTTCTAATTGGATTTTCCCAGTTAAATGTCCATTTATTCAATTTCTTGCTGTTGGTTGAGATTTTAATATCGTAATGATTTCCTGCCAATTGTCAAGAAAGTAAATGTTTTATCACTTTATTGTGTCACATTCATTAGTTCACACTTTTCCCATGATGCATCCTGCAAAACGAGACACATTATATTTTATTTTATCCTTTTTTTCCCTTCTGCCAAACAAAAAGTAAACTCCAACTCGACAGTGGCTGAGTTGGTAGAACATTGGTCTTTGAGCCTGAAGGTAGCCAATGGCACAGACTGGTTGCCTCGCTTCTGTCAGTGTGCCCCAGGGCAGCTGTGGCTACAGGAGTAGTTGATCACCACCGTGTTTGGAGAGAAATGATAATGATGTGAAGCGTCTTTGAGTGGCCGATGCATTATTATTATTATTATTAGATTATGACTATTTCTAATGCTGTCTGTTATTTAGACTTGTTTAGACTTAGACTTTTTTAATCCACAGGGAAATTGCGTTGTCACAGTAGCTTGCATTGTATTCCACAGTAAAAGTAACATTAAAGAAACAATCTGAAAATGATAATGTTAATATAAAAATGTGAGAATAGAATCTGGAGATAGGTATTTAGGAATATGTTTGTGAATATGTACAAAATACAGAGATAATAGGATATTACCAGTATCACATTAACATTATTCAGCAAAATATCAAAATGTGATGGAAGTAAGAGTATTTCTCATGAATCAAAAGCGCAAAAACCACGGTATTCCTGGGTCTGCTGTTATCTCCCGTGACAGAATCCGGCTCCGTGGCCCTGGACCCGAGCACCACGTCCGCAGCATTTGGCAGTCTCCTTCTCAAACCAGCGTCACATTCCATTTGTCTCCACTTGACTCTCGGCTCCACAGAGACAGAAAACACCGAGTCCTTGACGTTGTTTCCGCCAGCGCCGCGTCTTCAAGAGCGACCCGACCAATCAGGAGTCAGCTCCTCAAAGTGCTTCACCTTCACGGAGCTTTCAGAGAAACCAAAAGACTGAAGATGACACATTCTCCAAGAGTCAGACCAGAGGAGTCTTTCAAACATCCCACAATCTCAATCAGAAGACAAGGCATTGTGTTTTTATTGTCATGGTGTGGGTTTCATTTTTGTATTTTTGTTTTATTTTGACATTGTTCTCTGTGGTTTGGTTTTAGTTGTACTTCCTGTCCTGTTTGCCCCTGTCTTGATTGTCTGCCCCGGCCTGATGTGTTTCACCTGTGTCTGTGTCTATAGGTACCCTGTGCTCCTCTCCCCATGTTGCTGGTCCATTGTCTTGTTCATGTCCTTGTCCGTTCCGTTCTGTTTTGTTCCGTTCCTGGTTCCCTGTGGTTTTGGATTTTTGAGTATGTTTTCATCTACCCTTTTGTTTTTTCATCATTAAATTATTTTTATTTTGGCATTTCCTGCATTTTGAGTCCTTCATTCGCCTCCCCCCATGACAGTTATAAGTAATATTACACAAAGAACTTTACAATTACAAAGAGACGAGAGCTGGGTCGCCGTACAGAAGGTGCTTGCCAGACCTATTGTTCATGTTTTTAATGGTTGGGGAAACAGAAGCACCTGATCAATAACCGTGGAAGTCATGGCTTTGGTGTTTCAGTTCAGGCTTCAGGCAAATTGGAGAAAAAGTGCTTTGCCCAGAGACACAACGACAGAAGACATCGGTGGGATCAAACCCACGGCCATTAGGTCCAAACACCAATGCTCTTGATTATGGTTCATTTATCTTGTGTTGTGAGCTCCTCATTGAGCTGAGTGATGCAACACTGGAATTTCTCAAAGAATGGGAGACGAATAAAGGATCTCTCAAACTTAAAAGGAGCGATATGTAAAAATCTGGCCAAAAGTGGTACTGCAACCTCCCCCTGACTCAGGTTGCCAGATATGCAGAGGAATCATAACGAGACCTGTTTTAGTTCCGTGGCCACATGGTACTTTACCAGTGAGATTAGCTCGAGTTCTGGCAACCTGCATCACAGACTTTCTGATTGGTGAAACGGTGGAGGGCGTGACATCGAAACAAAAACAATAACAAGATTTAGGGGCTGGAAAACTAATTTTGAATTCAAATATCTCTGAAATAATGTTATCAGTTAAAGAAGTATTGTAAAAGAACATGTTTTATTAAAGCCTTTTGACAGATTAGGGCCCTTTAATGATGACTTGACATGAAAATCTTACATATTGCTGCTTTAATCTACTGTAACATGGTGCAGTTTTATTGTCTCCTCACAGATCTAAAGAACCTCATTGTGACTGGAGATTTTCCCAAAACTAATTTGGAGGCAAAACAGCTCTGTTCCGACATCTGTCTGAGGACACATTATTGCACAACGAACAATGTCGAAACATGTTTAAAAAGTCAAACAAGATGATTTCCCAAAACACGTCTCCATTAGAACTCATCATTGAACGTAAACCTTTATGAGAAAGACGCCACAAAGAGCAGAACTCAGCCAACAGGCACGGTTCCATTTCAAATATATTAAAATCCTGGCTCCAGACTGAGATCCCGATCACCTCCAAAATCTAATCGTTTGGTTCTGGTCCCATTTCCCGAGATTGACTGAGAATGTCTTTCAAACCTGCCAATAACATTTGGATTTATGTTTCTTACTAACTAATTACCAAACAGCCCTGATGAAAACAATTCCTCCTTGGCAAAGTTAATAAGCCAATTTTATAAACATGTCTATTCGCTGCTGGCACATAACCCATAATGCTTTGCGCCTCGGGGGCTGTATTTGACTGATCCATTCCCGCCGTGGATCATCAGAGACAGCGCCACCTAAAAGCGTGGAGCAAAAAGGGTTTTATCATAATGTGTGGTCTCAGTCCTCATTCTACAGCCTCAGTCCTGGATCTACAGCCTGAGTCCTGGATCTACAGCCTCAGTCCTGGATCTACAGCCTCAGTCCTGGATCTACAGCCTGAGTCCTGGATCTACAATCTCAGTCCTGGGTCTACAGCCTCAGTCCTGGATCTACAGCCTGAGTCCTGGATCTACAGCCTCAGTCCTGGATCTACAGCCTGAGTCCTGGGTCTACAGCCTCAGTCCTGGATCTACAGCCTGAGTCCTGGATCTACAGCCTCAGTCCTGGGTCTACAGCCTCAGTCCTGGGTCTACAGCCTCAGTCCTGGGTCTACAGCCTCAGTCCTGGATCTACAGCCTCAGTCCTGGATCTACAGCCTGTGTCCTGGGTCTACAGCCTCAGTCCTGGATCTACAGCCTGAGTCCTGGATCTACAGCCTCAGTCCTGGGTCTACAGCCTCAGTCCTGGGTCTACAGCCTCAGTCCTGGGTCTACAGCCTCAGTCCTGGATCTACAGCCTCAGTCCTGGGTCTTTGGGAGTTGATCCCTCTCCCAATGTGGTCCACCCCGAGGTTTCTCACTTTCTCCCACTGGGTTTTTAAGTCTTTCCTTGCTGATGTAGGAGGGTCTGAGGACAGTGACGATCCAGGACACTCAAAATTCAACACATTTATGGACATTGGTCTCTGCCGCTCATGGACCAATGACCAATTTTTATTAATCATTGCATTTCTTGTGGTGATAAACTACTTTAGCCACAACTGCCCTGGGGCACGCTGATAGAAGCGAGGCAACCAGTCTGTGCCATTGGCCCCTCCCACCACCACCAACCATTCACACACACACCAGACTCATTTTGGCGTATTCAACGGTTTTGCCAAGTCCTCCGAGATAACTACTTTTGTGATTCGAATTGAATTTTTGGTGCCTCACACGAGCTTCTTTTAAATGCTTTGTAAGAGTCACAAAAACAAGCTTTGTGTTTGTGACAAAAACTGAATATGAAAATAATTAGAGCCAGAGAATATAGTTCGTTGTAATGACTGGGCCCATGCATTTTAATGATGAGTGCTCAAGGGAGAGAGTAAAACATCATGGAGCCAAAAGGTGACTCCCGCAAACTCAACCCACTGCAGCCAGAGGCCACTGTCGGCAGAACTGGGGGGAGTGTGGGGGGGGTGAGGGCAGAGTGTGGGGGGAGGCTGTAGGGGGAGTGTAGAATGTGGGGTGAGGTTGTGATAGATAGATAGACATTTTATTGATCCCCAGTGGGAGAAATTCAGGCTTACGGTGAGGGAGGGGCGGGTGAGGGAAATTCAGGATTGGGGTGTGGGCACAATGTGGGGTGAGGCTGTGGAGGAGTGAGGGCCGAGTGTGGGGTGAGGCTGTGGAGGGGTGAGGGCCGAGTGTGGGGTGAGGCTGTGGAGGGGTGAGGGCCGAGTGTGGGGTGAGGCTGTGGAGGGGTGAGGGCAGAGTGTGGGGTGAGGCTGTGGAGGGGTGAGGGCAGAGTGTAGGGTGAGGCTGTGGTGGGGTAAGGGTAGAGTGTAGGGTGAGGCTGTGGAGGGGTGAGGCTGTGGAGGAGTGAGGGTAGAGAGTGGGGTGAGGCTGTGGTGGGGTGAGGGTAGAGTGTAGGGTGAGGCTGTGGAGGGATGAGGGCTGAATTTGGGGTGAGGCTTAGGAGGGGTGAAGCTGTGGAGGGGTGAGGGCAGAATGTGGGGTGAGGCTGTGGAGGGGTGAGGCTCTGGAGGGGTGAGGGTAGAGTGTAGGGTGAGGCGATGGAGGGGTGAGGGCAGAATGTGGGGTGAGGCTGTGGAGGGGTGAGGGCAGAATGTGGGGTGAGGCTTAGGAGGGGTGAAGCTGTGGAGGGGTGAGGGCAGAATGTGGGGTGAGGCTGTGGAGGGGTGAGGGTAGAGTGTGGGGTGAGGCTGTGGAGGGGTGAGGGCAGAATGTGGGGTGAGGCTGTGGAGGGGTGAGGGTAGAGTGTGGGGTGAGGGTAGAGTGTAGGGTGAGGCGATGGAGGGGTGAGGGCAGAATGTGGGGTGAGGCTGTGGAGGGGTGAGGGCAGAATGTGGGGTGAGGCTGTGGAGGGATGAGGGCTGAATTTGGGGTGAGGCTTAGGAGGGGTGAAGCTGTGGAGGGGTGAGGGCAGAATGTGGGGTGAGGCTGTGGAGGGGTGAGGCTCTGGAGGGGTGAGGGTAGAGTGTAGGGTGAGGCGATGGAGGGGTGAGGGCAGAATGTGAGGTGAGGCTGTGGAGGGGTGAGGGCAGAATGTGGGGTGAGGCTTAGGAGGGGTGAAGCTGTGGAGGGGTGAGGGCAGAATGTGGGGTGAGGCTGTGGAGGGGTGAGGGTAGAGTGTGGGGTGAGGCTGTGGAGGGGTGAGGGCAGAATGTGGGGTGAGGCTGTGGAGGGGTGAGGGTAGAGTGTGGGGTGAGGGTAGAGTGTAGGGTGAGGCGATGGAGGGGTGAGGGCAGAATGTGGGGTGAGGCTGTGGAGGGGTGAGGGCAGAATGTGGGGTGAGGCTGTGGAGGGGTGAGGGTAGAGTGTGGAGTGAGGCTCTGGAGGGGTGAGGGTAGAGTGTGGGGTGAGGCTGTGGAGGGGTGAGGGCAGAATGTGGGGTGATGCTGTGGAGGGGTGAGGGCAGAATGTGGGGTGAGGCTGTGGAGGGGTGAGGCTGTGGAGGGGTGAGGCTGTGGAGGGGTGAGGCGATGGAGGGGTGAAGCTGTGGAGGGGTGAGGGCAGAATGAGGGGTGAGGCTGTGGAGGGGTGAGGGTGTGGAGGGGTGAGGCGATGGAGGGGTGAGGCTGTGGAGGGGTGAGGCTGTGGATAAATAGATACTTTAAAGATCCTCGTAGGGTAAATTCAGAATTAGGGTGAGGGAAGAAAAGGGGGAGGGGGGGGGGGAGGGAAATTCAGGGGTGAGGGAGGTCCTTTCCACTGCACATGATAATAATATGAACAAAAACATGAACAAAAGAGTAGCATGCAGAGAATGAACTTTACAAATACAGTGTGTGTGACTATGATATGACTGTGAAGTTTTGTTAATTAAGAATTGAGCAGAATTAAATATTTAGACAATCCAAATACTCTCTTTTTGGAGGAGGATTGAATGAATATAATCGGTTTGCTTCGTCCATTTTCTTTTTAAACCAAATCCAGGGACATTTACAACAGCTTAGCGACTTAGCGATTATTTTAGATAAGATACCATAAACTTTATTGATCTCACAATGCAGAAATTTACATATTTGGCACATATAGAATCACTCAGATTGTGCAAAAAGACAGAAGTGTGCAACATGTTAAAGTCAATTCATGATTAATTGTTAGTTAACTATGATATTGACGTGAATTAAGTAACTGTAACTACTGTTGAATTGAGAGTCATCAGTTGAGCTTTGTTTTGGTCAAAAATATATTAAAAAAACACATTCCCTGAGCTTTAGGACAGACTATTTGGCAAACTAATCCATTATCTACATAACTGTTTTTACCGTCCCACAAAACACACATCTCGCACCGGCTCAGTAGGAACTTGAGGGATTTTGAACGTCATATTTGGAACATATCCATTATGATAATCCTGGGTAAAATTCAAACCCAATTCATTGAGACCCCGCCTTCCTGAGCTCCCCCCTGCTTCATTAATGACCTCGGCAGGATCCAGGCTCGCAGCCCCCTCGGCTTGCATCACTTGACATGATTATTTCAAAGCCTCCATAATTCACCGGCCCGCGCCGCCTTCGTCCCGCTCATTACGCCGACAGGTTTGATGGGCACCGGTTGAATAATTGACGTAGCGTTTATGGAGGAGTGATCCGCGGCGAAGCGTCCACGTCCCCGCGGCCCCGCTTTGAATATTTAACGGCGCGACAGAGTGATTTCACATAGAGATCACAGGCGGAGGAGGCCCGGGTCATTAGGAGCGCCATGTGCGGTCAGAACGGACACGTTTACTATGGAAATGGACCCTTCCCTTTCAGCTCAGGGCGGGAGAGGCTTCACTGAGGTCTCACCAAAAGGAATCACTGATTTGATTGAATTGATTTTTCTCGTACAATTAAATTTGCTCAAAACCAAACTTGGGTAAAACCTTTCAATTATTAGTATTCATACATTGAAAGAATACATTTTGCTCTGTGATTATGTAATGATGACAGGTGATTAAATATACTTAAAGAACTAAAACTTTCATTCATTTTAGCATTCATACAATGTTAATGTATAATGTTATGAAAATATTCCAAATATTCAGAATGCAGTTTTCTGATTGGAACAACATGCAGCAGCAGTGATAATGGCCAATACATTGGCACGTTATACCTCATTTTAAAAAAGCTAATTATCTCTTTATATAACAGTTGTGTGTGTAATTAACTCTTCTTTATATGTAGTCAGTCAAAACGCTGCGACAGTAACTGAAACAATAACTCATTTCAGAAAAACAAATATATAGAAATACATCTACTGTATGTCCAGGATTCAGGAGCTCATGGAGCAAATCTGCTGCTTTGGCATTTTATTTATATAGCACGTTTCATACACATGGAACCTCCTCATGTCGTGCATAAATAACCACAGGGTATTACAACAAGTGAAGATGCAATTCTAAAATAGAGGGGTAGGAATCAATAAGTTTTAAACTTCCTCCTACTCCGTTTGAGCATCACGTTCCGAATGTACTCTTTGTCAATATCTGTATTCTTATTTTTATTATTTTTTTGCAATTGACCAACTCTTTGAGTTGAATGTCTTGCATGTGTTTGAACAGACGCTTAAATAAATAAATAAATAATAATAATAAACGTTAACCCAAACACCTGGACATGAATATTGTCACATTTTAGCTTGAAAAATCTTACTTTGGGACCAGCAGGAGACCAGTCCCTGTGCTCCTCAGAGTCCAAGCAGTCCAGTCCCTGTGCTCCTCAGAGTCCCAGCAGTCCAGTCCCTGTGCTCCTCAGAGTCCCAGCAGTCCAGTCCCTGTGCTCCTCAGAGTCCCAGCAGGAGTCCAGTCCCTGTGCTCCTCAGAGTCCCAGCAGGAGGCCAGTCCCTGTGCTCCTCAGAGTCGGACTCGGTTGATATGGCACTAATATGTAATATTTGAAGGCTTAATATGCACTGACAACCATCTAAATAAATATATAAAACACACATATTTCTCATGTCAACACTAATGCGGTAGGATTCGTTCTGATTTGGTTAAAACGTCAAAGTAAAAGGGACAGGACTAACATAAACTGTTCAAAATATGATTTACGTTCTTCATATATGAGTCGCAGCTGTCAGGGCAGAGCTACAGGCCTGGCGCAGGACTCTATATGGGCCCTATATGAACCACATGCATGTTTAATATTGTCATTATTACTATGTCTTTTATTTATGTTGCATTGTGGGAAAGTTGTAAAATATGATCCAGCCCAAAGCACGGCCAGGATTTTCCATTCAGCGTAAATTATTAATAAATCCATCCATAATTCATCGTACGCTGAGTCTGCAAGTCTCTTTGTGGAGGATTTTTTGTATTATTATTATTTTGCAGCTTGACCAGCTTTTGAAAACATCTGCATGAACCGGAGTGTCAGTGGTTTATTCATACAACGAATATTTGTTGTGTAAAACGGGCCGTCGTGCTGCTTCGGATCGACTTCTGCGGGTTTTTACACGCGTTACAGGAGGGATTTTTGTGGATTTTGAAATTTAAATGTGGCGCCCCTCCAGCCTCTCACTCAGGAGGTTTGGAATTAAGTTTATTTGACTGGAGGCAAAACGAAGAACGCGTACAGTACGACCACATGGTAGCAGTATTTGACAAGTAGAAAATTGATCACATTACTTGATGTCGGCAAATATTTCTCCTGTGTGAGATTAATAAAGTATCTTATCTTTTCTTAAATCCCCAAAAACCTAATCTACAGGTGCGTTCACATCGACAATGCAACAACCCTGGATCATAATAACTGGATAGGGTTTACTAAGACTAAATTCACGTGGGCTAAACATAAATATTCCCCATAGAACTCAATGTAAACTAAAACAGCTCGACCTCAGCTGACAAAGAACCTGACAGAGAACCTGACAGAGAACCTGACAGAGAACCTGACAGAGATGTTGTGGGGATTTTAGTGTCCTTTGTCATCCTGAACTTTTTTTCTTCTTAAATCCTTCGGTTTTCTTTAAATCCACGCTTTAATGCCACAAACTCTACTCGTTTCCTTCCCGCTCTAGCTCCACTCTGATCAGCAGCTCTGATTGGTTAGAATGCGGCGCATGTTTGCTGTAAAGTGTAACGTGGTTGACTCTGCGTTGTGTTGTGAGAAGAGTAACCGCAGGAGACAGGGTAGTTTTAACCAGTTTAAACCAGTTCTTGGATCTGTGCAAAACAAAAAATAGCTGGTCAGCCTTGGACCTGGAGTGGGGTGGGGCTAGTGGGGTATACATTATAACACGTTAACATTTCTATAAGTACTCAACTACAATCTTATCTGATTAAACATTGTCGTTTTTTTAAGTTTACAAGCATTCCACAGTCATACCATTGAAAAATAAACATACAAATGTAATTTTAGCAGAAAAAAAAATGTTGACCTTACCTCAGCTTGCACATTTTGTCCCCGAGACTTAAAGGATTTGTCACCCCAAGAGGGCGCTGTTCTACCATAACAGTGTCTATGACAAGTGGAATACAAAACTTTTAACTCTGTTACAAAAGCATCATGGGAGCTCGTCCACTGCGCAGAACCGGGAGGACCAGAGAAATGACCAAATATGGGCGAGTTCCGCTAATCTTTCGGTCCCCATGGCGACACATGCGCCACCGAGCACAAGCCACTGACTTGAATAGGACGCCATCTTGGATCCCCGGGGCTTGGCAGCATATGCGTCTTGGAAACGTGTTCACTACATTTCAGCTGCATGACTTTAGTAAATCCAACGTACTGTTCTGCGATGCCACAAAACACAGGCCGGAAGTGGTGGGCGGGATTTAAAAGAAAAAGTAGTAGTAGTAATATTGGTAGTAGTAGGAGTAGAAGTCAGAAAACAATATAAATGCTAGTAAATGTTGTAATTGTCTTGTAGAAAATGACTGGCCGTAGCATGAATAGCAATCATTACTGTCTGCTTAGTATTCGTGATGCTAATGCACTGGTTACTGCAGAAAGGGAAAAAAATAAGTCCAAAATTCCTCAAATTTGGCTCTTCTCATTACTATATGTAGAAGTACTGAGACACAGTATTTATGGTAGTACCGGCTCTTGTTACAGTAGTATATTAACAGATAACAGAGATCCTTTATTCGTCCCACAGCTGGGAAATTTCAGTGTTGCATCACAAGTTACAGAATGTCAGAGTGAGAAGCACACTGCACAAGATAAATGAACAATAGCTCTAAACTAATTAAAATGAAACATAATCTCTAACTCTTTTATCAAATAGCCAGTATATAATCTCTATCTTGAACATAATAATAATAAAAAAGTATTAACATTTAACATTTAGCAAAATAAGAGGCAATATGGTAGTACTGATATGGTAGGTATACTGGCTCTTCTCACTCCTATATGTATAAGTACAGAGACAGAGTATACAGTGCCTTGCGAAAGTATTCGGCCCCCTTGAACCTTTCAACATTTTGCCACATTTCAGTCTTCAAACATAAAGATATAAAATTTTATTTTTTTGTCATGAATCAACAACAAGTGGGACACAATCGTGAAGTGGAACGAAATTTATTGGATAATTTAAACTTAAAAAAAAAAATAAAAAACTGAAAAGTGGGGCGTGCAATATTATTCGGCCCCTTTACTTTCAGTGCAGCAAACTCACTCCAGAAGTTCAGTGAGGATCTTTGAATGATCCAATGTTGTCCTAAATGACTGATGATGATAAATAGAATGCACCTGTGTGTAATCAAGTCTCCGTATAAATGCACCTGCTCTTTGATAGTCTCAGGGTTCTGTTTAAAGCGCAGAGAGAACCATGAAGACAAAGGAACACACCAGGCAGGTCCGAGATACTGTTGTGGAGAAGTTTAAAGCCGGATTTGGATACAAAAAGATTTCCCAAGCTTTAAACATCTCAAGGAGCATTGTGCAAGCAATTATATTGAAATGGAAGGAGTATCAAACCACTGCAAATCTACCAAGACCCGGCCGTCCCTCCAAACTTTCATCTCAAACAAGGAGAAGACTGATCAGAGATGCAGTCAAGAGGCCCATGATCACTCTGGATGAACTGCAGATAACTACAGCTGAGGTGGGAGAGTCTGTCCATAGGACAACAATCAGTCGTGCACTGCACAAATCTGGCCTTTATGGAAGAGTGGCAAGAAGAAAGCCATTTCTCAAAGATATCCAATAGAAGTTTCTTAAAGTTTGCCACAAGCCACCTGGGAGACACACCAAACATGTGGAAGAAGGTGCTCTGGTCAGATGAAATCAAAATCAAACTTTTTGGCCACAATGCAAAACGATATGTTTGGCGTAAAAGCAACACAGCTCATCACCCTGAACACACGATCCCCACCTCAGCTGTATCTGCAGTTCATCCAGAGTGATCATGGGCCTCTTGGCTGCATCTCTGATCAGTCTTCTGCTTGTTTGAGATGAAAGTTTGGAGGGACGGCCGGGTCTTGGTAGATTTGCAGTGGTCTGATACTCCTTCCATTTCAATATAATTGCTTGCACAGTGCTCCTTGAGATGTTTAAAGCTTGGGAAATCTTTTTGTATCCAAATCCGGCTTTAAACTTCTCCACAACAGTATCTCGGACCTGCCTGGTGTGTTCCTTTGTCTTCATGGTTCTCTCTGCGCTTTAAACAGAACCTTGAGACTATCAAAGAGCAGGTGCATTTATACGGAGACTTGATTACACACAGGTGCATTCTATTTATCATCATCAGTCATTTAGGACAACATTGGATCATTCAAAGA